ATTTAAGTCGTAAGCCTTTTGGAATAATGTTATTGTTTTTACATTTATGTAAAAATGTTAAACTGTTTTCAGAGTGTTGAAGTTTTATGTATTTGGATTTTAGATATCGGAAAATAGAACAGATATGAGGCCCATACCTAAGTTGTAGATAAGTTCTATATTGTTGAGGCGGATTCATTTTTTATGATTTTCCATTTTTTATGAAAATCCATTTCTTTGGCTTGATGAAGAACGAATTTACTGCCCTTACTACAAGTGCTCGGTATGCTCAGAATAACAGGTCATTTAGGAAAATAGATGAATGTATTAGCCCACGTTCCCAAAAACAAAGTTATGGAAAATCTCGAACTTTCTTCTTCAATGTTGAGCTAAAGTGAGTACACATATCACCATCATTAAACTTTTATCAGTTCGAAGAATCTTGAACTATTGGACAATTTTCAATTTCTCTTTGATGAAAATGTCAAGTCCCTGTAATTGATGCTCTATTGACATGAACATTAAACTCAAATATGACTCTCTGGAAACTGTTTGAGATGTATGAAATAAGTAAGTGAGAGCCATAAACGCTCTTGTCAGAACTGCATCGATCGTGAAGGTAAATAGGTTCCGAAAAGTGTCATAAAATTTGCTAGACGACTTCTCATTATAAACCAGCTACTATCTGCAGAAGCTGCTCTTGCAAAGATGTCGCTCATCTTTTAAAAATACTTTCTCGTCTCCGATACACATTCATAAAGTTGGAAAGTGACGTGACATAAGTTCCGACTGCAATAATGATAGTTCTTGTAATGTACAGGCACATGCCGTACGAATGCGTCGCACCAAAAACTAAACGTTGCTTGCCTTGTCAGTACAGACCTGAAGACTGTTCAGTCTTGCTGCGTTCGCTGAAGAGTGGCATATTACAGGCTCGGGTTGCTCGAAATCGGAACAGATTTCGCGTTGCGGCGCGGAAACTTCGGAATAAAAGCTTTGCAAAAGTTTTTCGGAAAAGGACACTTTTTAATTCTTGATTGCTAATACCTATAGTTTTGCTGTTCTGCCCCTTACTTATACATGGATTTTATTATTCTTAAGGTAAGCGTATAAGAATTATTTTGAAATTTGCGCTCGTGGTGTGAATTACACAAATTTACTCCCATGGCTATGAATATTAAACCACTGAAGAACTTTTTAAATTGCTTTCCATAAGTATCCGGTATTGCTCCCTCGAGGTCTGTGGTAATATGGATGGGAATTGCCCTCCTCGCATGGCTTGCACAAGTCTATAGGTTTGGGTTTATTTAGTCGTCAAATAAATACCAAAAGTTCACATTTCAATATTTGCTGTGCCCAAATTCGCTCTTACAGTTTACTTTCGCCTTATTTACTGGGATGCGCCAATTTTGCTTTTCTTATTTTTTCTTCGGGCATTTAAGCCAAGAATATTATTACAGGCAAGGACAGAGTACGTGTTTCTTTTAAGGGAAAATTGCACATTTTGGGACTGCAATAAATTGCACAGTGATATACAAAGACCAAACTGAAGGCAGAAATGCAAGAGACAGGACAAGAACTCGAATTGCATTATAATGTAAACACATTTTTTTGGTTCACGAATTCGCTGTGGAAAATGCAACCAAACTAGTAGATATTATCAAGTTATTATGTTCTAATTCAAAAATTTTCAATTGTTTTTAAACTATGTATTGTTCTTTTTTTTATTTGTCTAATTTGTTTGAATATTTCAAGTATATAATATATAAGTTTTTAAGCGTCCATATTAGAGTCATTAGGTTTAACCTAAGTGTATATGGAAAAGATCATGTTTTCGCACACTAATAAAGTTAATGTGGAATTTGCTAAACCAAACAAATAGATAAACAATATGTGGAAAATTACATCTAAAGGTGTACAATCTATAAACCTGCTTCAAAGTTCTTACGAGCACGCCATCCAAACAGTTGAATTAATTTTTAACTTTGTTTTACAAGTTTGTTAGTTTTGTGAAACATTTGAAACTATCTATTTTGAAAATATATTCTGACGCTTGAAAGTAGCACGAACAAAAATCTCCATATTGCAATTATCGCATAATCTCCCTTTCGAAGTTTGAACTAGAAATTGTTCGAAATCCTCCTTTATCTCTATATGTATTAGGATTTACAAATCCATTCGCGAACCTACTAATGATTGAAGTACAAAATGAAGCAAAACTGCTAAAAATAACCTTCGGCACGTTAGGCATTTTCGGATCACTGTGCGCATTGGGTTGCCACAGCCCAGGTAAACGTACTCAATATTTTCCCAAAACCTGGTTTGTGTTTAGAATATTTATTTATGTTAGTAAAACCTTGCTGTAGCATCTTGTAAAGGCTGTGAGTAAAATATTATTTAGCACTCACAAAATTGACTTGTATTCACGGTTAACCGTAAAAATTAACTAGGAACTGAACAATTAAATAATTTTTGTATACTGAGAAGAAAACGTATTCCAAGTGCATGGAACCCAATTTGGGGTTCTTATAATAAAATAAATTATAATACTTCGACGAACAAAATAGAGCTGAAATTTGCCTGGATATATTCCGGCTAATGGGGGATTAAACGGTGGCTATTTAAAATGTCATTTATATTCGCATTCCATTTTGTTTCGGCATTTAACCATTTGCGACGTTGGAGCATTTTTAATAGCCTATTATTCGACCTAAAATATTTACAATAGCGGAAAAAAGCATTAAACTTGCATCAAATTACTTTTCACATTTTGTCATGGGTCTTTGGTAGAGACCGCAAAAAATTTAAAAATTGCTCGTCAAATTTTCAGCGGCTCTCGACCTGACATGACACGAAAAAAAATAATAACAGGTGTTCGTATGATTAATAGGCTCAGATTTAATCCTGGAAGTTGAGCATTTGTATTTTCTATTGAAAATGTAACTATTGCCAAAAGCCGTTTTATTTTGAAATTTTTTTTATTGAAACTAATACATTAATGTAAAAGTCATTTGAGTAACGAGAGCAAATTGTTTGGAGTTCTCAAAGTCTTCAATGGTTTCGATTGCATTTAGGCAAAAGGAAGAAGAATGCAAATTTCTTAGAATTTACGTTTTACTTTCTGGTTTGTACTGCATATTAGTATTTTCCTGAAGCTTGGAAAGAAAAAAGAACTGGTAAAATAAACTATTTTAAGATCGTTCAGAACTTAATAATCAGCAAATATAGTTTCGAAGAAACAGTATTCAATTGAGCATTGAAATTAGACGTTTTTGGCCTAGCACCAACTTCATTTGTAAGGCAAAGCGAAGATCAAAGATTCGGAGCAGTCAAGCCGAATAACCTCTTGTTGCTTTTCCCAAATTCGTTTATTTATTTACGTTTAAATTTTAGCCTTCTATGGAACTGTGCAATGCGAGTACATTAACTTCTTACATTTACATAATCAAACAATGCATTGAACTTTCTTTTTTAAACGTTTCTATTCATTGACTGTGAGATGAAATTTAAGGCTGTCCATTCACGTTCGGTCTGGAATTTTATCGATATATTCGCACCTCTTTGCATTTTCCCGGACCATTATTACAAAACTCGAAAACAAAGTCGTAAATCGCGACAGGCGTAGGAAAAAGAAGCAAAAAGTGCATCAAAAATGCGACAGAAGAAATTGCTGCCGGGATTTATAGTTTCCTGTACACCTTTTCAATTTTTTGTCGGTTGGTTTTTTAATTGGTCATTGGCGTATAAAAAGTTTTCGTTTTGGTCTATTTCGGAAATTAAACTGATGGTTTTTCCAGAAACATGTTATCTTGTAGTCAGAAATATAGCGCAACAACCGAAAACATATTCCCTATTTTTACGAGTTGTAAACATTTTACAACACAAGGAATTACGTACCAGCAACATGTAGTCAATGAACTATGGCCTATGTTTCGGATTCATCTGCCGCATCTAATTGACCTTGACACCCAATGTTTTTGAATTTAAAACGAACAATAATAAGATACTTAACCGCACAATTAACAATGCTAATCAGACATAAATAACCAGGCATTTGGCATTTTAAATTTGCAGGGCTAAGGTCGGCTGTTTGATGTGAAAATCAGGCCGACCATTTCTTTGTCCCTAAAATAAACACATTGTGATTGATTTTATTAATTTAGTACTAATTTGGAAAACGATTGTGCAACTTGAAAGTCAACTGTACTAATGCAAATGGAAAATTTGCTTTATATTCTGCCAATTTTTCGTGATTGTTGGATTATAAAAGCTGAACATTATTGTTGTCATTTAGAAAGAATTAAAAACTCATTGCCTGTGAGAAATTATTCAATTACATACTAAATACAGATGTTGGGCAGGGTTTTTATATAGTCATTTTCAGAAATAATATGTTTTTGATACTTGGCCTGCTAGCTATAAACCGTCTAATTCAAGTGAGGCTTTTACGGCCGTTGTTTGAATACGTAAAGATTTTCGGGCTTTAAGGCAGTCATTAAATTAAATTTTATCCCGTCGTTTCGTCAGCATAAGTGACTGAAATATTCAGAGGTAATTGCTTGGGGCTCAGCATTTAAACGCACAAGTAGCAAGCATAGGAAATAACAGAGGAAAGCGACAAGCCGTAAAGTTGACTGCGCAGACAGTGATTGTGTAAAAGTCACACATGCTTATTTGCGCACCAATGCAATATAAGATGCACCAATCTATCTTAGAGCAAGAACAAATCTAGTTTCTTCATTGACATTGTCATACTTTGTTGATGAATATTTTATTTTAAAAATAGTTCAGAAGTATTGTTGTACCGGTTGTACGAGCCCTAACAACTACACGTTCGGACGGCGCCCGAAATTCTAATATGAATAATCATAGCTCAATTCAATAATTATGTTTAGTTTAATTCTTTTTTCTTGGCAGTTGAAAAATAGGGTCTCATACAAGTTCCCTATCATACAGCAAGATGTTAACGCATTACTTTTTCATTTCTCAACAACCACAAAATAAAATAGCAGAAATATTTCGAAATTTTTGACAAATAAATATTCGGACGTGTATTTGATTGACCGGGAAAATCAATATTATGCATGCATCTGCTAATAAACTAAGTTTTTTCAGATTAATATCTGTCAGAAGTTTCATACTTTCATATAAATGCATGAGAAAGTAAGGCGTGTCGCTTCAACAGACAAAAAGCTACGATAAATTATAATTTCTCAATACAGTAAAGGTAAATCAATGCAGAAAATTTGAAATGATCTGAATATTGTCCATTGTGTTATAAAAAAGTTCAGTGATACTGCTACTGTCGCTGTTCGTGGTAAAAGTTTACTCCGATCCCGTATTATTTCCTGAAAGAGAACGTTGTGTACGTAAAGATCCGCAGATCCAACAGAAGAGGCACCTTACGACAAATTCAAGCTCAGTGGAATCAGGAAGCAACTTTAAATGTATCGTGCGAATGCAGTAGACTATGGTTGCATAAATCTGGTAACAGTTTTTATAAAGGTTTATTTATTATTTTATGGATTTCAATATAAAATAAAATAACTTATTTTTTTAACCGATTCCGGTTTAGGCAAAGGAAAAGCCGCTATTTACAGCTATCCAAAGGCAAAAACGATTGAATTTGGGTAAATCTAAAATATCCTGGGCAACGGAAATGCGCAGTAACGTTATTTTTACTGAGGAATCAAAATTTGACGGATACGTAGATGTATTTCGGGAAAAAGTGATTTAAACAAAATCGGAGGCCTTTCAGATAGACTGACTAAAGCGTACAGTAAAGTTTCTCCAAGAGGTTAAATAGAGATGTATGAACACATTTTATCAAGAAGTTTAATTCCAGCTTTGCAACAATATTTTGGAATTAAAAATTGCATATCTTATGCAAATATAAATTATTTGTTTTCTACTCATTGAATATCGTCCGAACATATAGTTGTAAGGGCTCGTATGTCTAAGCGTCAATCCTGTTTAAACAATTATCATTCCAACATGAAACGACGTGCTGCTGGGTTTTAATAATTAATTAAATCACAAGAGAGCTTATCTGTAACAGTCAAAGTTAATCGGTAAGACCAGAACACAATACCTTGACAAAG